AATGCTGATGGTATGTCTGTAAAAAATAATGATTAGATGAAAAAAAAATAAACAAAAAAATATACCGGAAAGCCATTTTTGCCCGGTGTCCCTGCTGTCCCCTAAGAAATAAAAAATAATGGATAAAATAAATATAAAAAACCAATAATTTAGTATAGCTATTTTTCTAAATATACCTAGGTAAAAAGAAAGAAAAAAAAGTTCAAATTTTTTGACAGTTTAGATTTAACAATATCAAACAGGATTTTGAATTTTTGTTCATTATAATAGTTTTGCATAATAAGTTTAGAATATCTTAAATGGAGAAGCTCAAATTTTAAGGAAAATATAAAATCTTGTAGTAGACATTTTCTTTCTTCATTCGTTTAAGTTTTACTGTATTTGTGAAAATTGGGCCTATGATGTATCGTTTACATATATAATTACATACAAGTGTAAAAGAATGTATGTACGTTCAGAAAACGTACATCAGATTACAGTTATCAAAACATAATGTGTGAACACGGTATGATGTATCTTGTCCTGCATTGCTATACGTAAAATGACCAAGCCACAGCAGAAAATAACATAAATTGGTAATTACGGTTCTGTCGTAGCGTGAAGATCTGTCAGTTAATTCAAATTAACCTAACTTTTAGCTTTGCGCTTGTTTTATTTGTTTGTGTTTTTATTTTACTCCAGTCGTCAGAGACAAAAATTACACTGAACCTCTAAAATTCATATGAACAAGCTTAACCTAGCCTAACCTAACCTAACTTTTAGCTTTGCGCTTGTTTTATTTGTATGTTTTTAATTTACTCCAGTCATCAGAGACGAAAATGACACTGAACCTCTAAAAATCATATGAAAGCTGAATTTGCTGAGAATGCCAATTTTGGGACGCCAATAGTATGCAAAAAACTAAAAATCATATGAACAAGCTGAATTTGCTGAGAATGCCAATTTTGGGACGCCAAATAGTATGCAAAAAAATTCCTACACCCGGCTTTCCCCTAAAACTACCCCTCGTAGGTCTATTTACCAAGATTCTGTAGTCTCAAGAAAAAAATGTTTCAAATAAAAAATGTAGCTGAGATAATTTCGAACAAAAATGTATATTAGAACTTTTTATGTAGAACAAACCGTTCTCTCATAAACAACACTTCCAGCGACCGGCAAATTTGAATAAAATTTTTATTAACTCCATGCTAAAATTCCACCTTTAAATCAGAGTGTACTATCTAGAAAAATGCGTTTTAAAGATGAAAAGTGCAGATTTTGTATGCAATTTTTATATTTGGCCGCAAATGAAGTTTTTCTAAAGGTGTTAAATCAATAAACGTTGCGTGTTTTTGCCATTTTTTTGGATTTTCATGAGAACAATAAAATTTATCCCTTTCAATGACCGGTTATTAACGAATTTTCATTATATAGGCATAGAGCCTAATCTTTAAAACTTAAGCATGAAATTTCGGTTTCAAATTTTGAAATATGCTTAAAAAACACTGAATATAAACTTTCACATTCAAACTATCTAAAACGTTGAATGAAAACTGCTGTTTTAATTACATAAGTGCCTTTTTCGAAACTACACAACTTTAGCTACAAACTACAACCAATACTGTCTTCGTGGAGGCAGTTCCCGTAACGTGCGATCGTTTGTAATGTTCTTCTTCTTAGGGTGCCTGTCCGTTCCGAACGTTGGCGATCATTCTGGCTATGATGATTTTGTTGGTTGCTATACGAAATAGCTGTGTTGAGGTCTTTCTATACCATGCTCTCAGGTTAGCAAGCCAGGATATTCTTCTTCGTCCTGGGGCTCTTTTTCCTTCAATTTTACCCTGCAAAATGCATTGGAGTAGCTCGTATCTGCCTTGATTTCTCATTATATGTCCCAAGTACTCCAGCTTACGGCTCTTCACAATGTTGACCAAATCCGCGGTTGTGTTCATCCTCCGCAGTACTTCTTCATTGGTGACTTTGTCTGTCCATGGTATCTTCAGGATTCTTCTGTATAACCATAATTCAAATTCAGTTTGTAATGTAAAAGTTTAAATTCTGCGTTTTTCGGCGTTAGTTGTTGCCAAAACCCAAAATTTTGAATATAAGGCTCTAACAATAGAAATTCCACTACGACCGATCAATGAAAGTGATACATTTTGCATCAAAAATGGCAAAATAGCAAATGTCAAATATCGCGCAACGTTTATTTATTTAACAGTTTTATAAAAACTGACTTCATCTGCGACAAAATACAAAACCTACATACGGAAGATGCCCTCTTTATTTTTACAATGCATTTTGTTTTTGTCGATAGGACACTCTAATCAAAAGATATCGAATGTTCACCATCGAGTTGATATTCAACAAATTTTATTTAACATTAATTTCTCGCGCGTAACTAACATTCAAAATCACCGGTCGCTTCAAGCGTTGTTTCTGAGAGAATGGTTCATTCTAGACAAAAAATGCTAATAAACATTGTTGTTCAAAATTATCATTTTTTATTTGAAATATTTTTCTACGGCATACAGATTTTTGGTAAATCGATTTTCTCCGTTTTCCTGCCCAATTGTTGGCTTTATTTTGCCAGTCACCACTATTTTGTTGTTCTTTAGGAACTCCAATATTAACTCCAATTGTTTCCTTGTCATTTTTTTTAATCGAAGCCATTATTTTATTAAAATTATATTTAAAAAAAATACACTAAAATATTCAAGGCATGTTAACACACAAAAAAAGTGATTTAACAAATAACACAAACTAATTAAGAGCGAAAATGACATGTAATTTTAGACAGGTTTAAAATTACGGTTATATAAAGTAAATTACATATTACGGTAGGCAACCCAATATACTTAGATGACACATCATACCAATTTGAAAATTTTTATATAAATGTGTTAAAATTGGAGTTAATACCATGTAATTATTTTACATAAACGATACATCATACCTCTCCTAAATATGTTTCATCGGAAACAAATTTCTGTAATTCTTGTTATAGACAGATGCATAGTTTACTTCTGTCTGTTATTCCTTCAGTCTATGATATGTTTTGACCTATATTTGAGGCTTATCAAGTAGTGGCACATGAAAGACAGACTTGGAGGCAAAAAAAATCAAATTTTCCTCTTTATGTAGACAAGCTACATAGAGATCTATCCTGGATTAAAGAAAATAGACACTATTAAATAAAGTCTTGCACGACAAAAAATAGATACCACTTTGAAGTATCTCTTTTCTAAATTTACCTTCATGCTTCCTCCTTCTTTTCAGTAATTGTCAAAAGACTGAATTAGCTTTACATGTTTTGTTCATGCCGAAATTCTTTATCTTCTCACTTGAAATTAATTAACAATCTCCTCTTTTTCTTCCTCGTTTACAATAATCAAAATAAATTTTTGTCATTGTGTAACTATGGTGCTTTTTTTAGGTACTAAATATATGCTAGATTTTTTTATATTTCTTCTATTATCTTATCCGTTATGATACTGCAGATATATGGATAGAATATGGGGCCTAGATTGATATTGTTGAAATTAGTATTCAGTTTCTTTCTTCAAATTTTTGTTTGTGATAACTACTGATCTTCGCCACGTTGTCTAAATATATTATTCTATTTAAAACTTTATTAGATCATGTTAAAAAGAATAGTATTAATCTCTGTGTTTCTGTGAGATGGTGTAGCCATTTAAATGCTTTTTATTTTTTTATTATATCAAATAACCAAAAATTTTGATATATTGAACTATTTTTTTATCAAAAAGTTTTTCTTAAAACCATTATTTTTTATTTTTACCTAGGCTACAGAAATATTTCAAAATATTTATCAATTATTTTCTAACTATTCTAATGGATATTAAGAATACGAAAAATACAAGGAAATATAAATTTTCAGTCCTTTCCGTCCTTTTTTTGAATAATCATCATATTTTTTTCCGTGGTGAAAAAACAAGAAGATATCTGAAACGCAATTGAATACTTATAATGTTATCATAAGCTTTATAAAATGCTTGATGGAAAAATTTAAAGATATCGAATTAAAATCGGTAACAATAAAAATATTCAAGATTTCAAATGTACAAGACTGAGAAAATTTAGATTTTTAGTTCAGATGGTATTTCTGTCATACTTATGAAATAAACAAAACCGACCAATAAAGGGCATGGCTGAAGCTAAACTGAAATTCAGCACCAAAGGCTCTCTTTAGACAAGATGAACACATTTATAAAATTATTGTAATTAATGACATAATGGGTAGTATGATGAAAATAGTTGCCTTAAAAATAAGAAACTAGACCTCAATGTAACCGATGTCAGGCTTATGGACAACCATGTTAGGCATATGGTGAACATCCACTGAAGTATAGAGGCTATGTCGAACCAGACCAAATGAGTCTAAGGAATTAAAACTTACGAGTTAGGGCAGTGAAGTGATATCACAAAAGAAGAGCATGGTAGTGTACATGTTAATTTAAAAGAAATACTGCTGACTAAGACTTTAGCTTAGAAAAAATGGGATAATTTAAGTTAGACATAAGTTACACATTGTTCTGTCAGTGAACATATGGCAATTTATTTGGAAAGGAACATAATAAAAAAAATCTACAATGCATGTATTTTTGTATTTGCTTAATATAATATGAAATAATTAACTGCTTGCAAGAAAAGTATGTATAGTAAGTAAATATATGTTTTATCACCAATTTCAATATTTTTAATTTTATTTTGTATCTGACACCATCAACACGAGGAATAGTGCACAGGAGGAAAATTATAGACATTAAAGGAGAAGGCAGTTTTTCTATAAAAAGGTTGCTGAGTTATAATAAATATTTTGAAACATTGTTTTTCTTATATTTTGAAAAAATCTTCCCATCTGAAATATGTGGTGACCTTTATTTATCAAAACTATATTATCTAAGCATTTCTTTATGAGGCTAAAAATCAAATTACGTATTATATATTTCAGATCAAAAGAATATAAATTAACATTTATAAAATACACTTCTACTTACAGGTGGGCCAGATTCCCCAGATTCTCCCTTTTTTCCCTTCCTTCCCCTTTTGCCAGGCAGTCCAGGAGGTCCAGGTGGACCTGGCGGCCCTGAAAAGATAAATCATAACTTTATATATGTCTTTATATATTTCAAGAATACATGTACATATTCCTGTTTTTTGTTAGTTATGGTAGTAGAGGTATCCTAACATCAAATCCAATAAGTTATGGTAGTAGAGGTATCCAATACTGGATGTTAGGAATACCTTTATTCCATTGCACCATATTGATACAATATCTTTATTGCATCAGCAGTTTCCTTTGGAAAACCATTAAGTACGTATATAGAGAAATAGTGAAATTCGAATTCAGAAAATATCTTTAATATGGTCTGTTTTCAGCTTAAGTGTAGTTTTATTTTTCTAGATATATAATTCACAGAATATGATATGGTGATCATCTAAAAACTACCCCATTTTTTGTTGAAAAACCAGTACATCACAAAAAGTTGTTGTTTGATTGATACTATATTGTGTTTAAAACATTAATTCGTATTATGCTTTTCTGAATTCTTTATATCAATTTAAAATATTATACAGCCCCAATAGACAGTCACAAAGACTATAAATACAGAGGAAAATACCATTATTTAGACAATATTTGAGCCATCTGCTGAAGCTGTTTTTAAAGGTCATCCACAAAAGAATTTACCGTAAATGCGAGGAATAAATTGCGCCCAATCAGTTTGGATTTGTGAACGCCGTTGGTACGAGGGAAGCTTTATTTAGCGTGCAGATCTTGTTTCAGAAATAATGTTTTTGCATGCCTGATTGACTACAAGAAGGCTTTCGATAGAGTCAGGCATGAACAAATGATGGAAGTGCTGAAGAGAACAGGGATTGATGGAAGAGACTTAAAAATTATAGCTAATCTGTATTGGAATCAATCAGCGGTACTCCGAATAGATGGAGAATATACAGATGAGGTCAAAATCTTAAGGGGAGTGAGACAGGGGTGCATAATTTCACCACTGATATTCAATCTGTACTCGGAGCACATTTTTGAAGAAGCCCTAAAAGATATTGATGAAGGCATCTCAATAAATGGAGTCAAGCTCAATAACCTGCGGTATGCAGATGATACAATAGTGTTTTCCAATACCATAGAAGGGCTGCAAAACTTAATGAACAGAATAACGGAAACAAGTAGAACATATGGACTGGATATAAACACCAGCAAAACCAAGCTAATGATCATCAGCAAGCAAAACATAACTGAGCAAATCTGTATGTGAACCAAATGAGAATTAAGGTCACAATACAATTACTTGGGAACTATAATCAATGAGTCGTGGGACAATACCAAGAGATTAAATGTCGCATCGGAAAGGCCAAAAGTGCATTCTTGACTATGAGCTCTGTGTTCAAAAGCCATGACCTCACCCTGAAAACAAAAATAAGGCTCCTTAAATGTTACGTGTACTCAGTGCTTCTGTATGGAGTAGAAACGTGGACATTGAAGGCGAGAAACTATATCAAAACTTCAGGCTTTTGAATTATGGTTATACAGAAGAATCCTGAAGATACCATGGACAGACAAAGTCACCAATGACGAAGTACTGCGGAGGATGAACACAACCGCGGATTTGGTCAACATTGTGAAGAGCCGTAAGCTGGAGTACTTGGGACATATAATGAGAAATCAAGGCAGATACGAGCTACTCCAATGCATTTTGCAGGGTAAAATTGAAGGAAAAAGAGCCCCAGGACGAAGAAGAATATCCTGGCTTGCTAACCTGAGAGCATGGTATAGAAAGACCTCAACACAGCTATTTCGTATAGCAACCAATAAAATCATCATAGCCAGAATGATCGCCAACGTTCGGAACGGACAGGCACCCTAAGAAGAAGAAGAAGACAATATTTAAAAATGTTTTGCGTTAAACTAAAATTTTACAGAATATCAATAAAAATGTACAATTCCAAGTTGTTATACCCATAATTACAAGTAAAGCTTTCGACCACATACTAACAGAGAGATATTGCTATCAATTGTCCGGACACATAGTTGTTGACACTATTGAGATTGTACTAATTTGTCACTCTAACAATACACATGTTTTCACATTTTGTAATAGATTTATCGATAATTAACAATTTCAAAATCAATAATCAACTAAAAACAAATTCAAATATAAAGGGAAGAATTACACGCTCGTTGATGACCAGCTACTAATTTTTGTAGGGCTGCTACAGCTCGTCATGAGCCAAAGCCTTCTTCAGAACAATCTTCCATTCGCCCTGTCCCTGGCAACTGTTCCTTATGCTTTAATCTTGATACCTAAGTTTTGGTCTTTCTCTGGATCGTCTTCCCACTGGTCCTCTTCGGTCGCAAATTTTTCTGATCATTGCATCTTCATCTTCATCTCGCCTAATTAAATGTCCTATCTATTGAAGGTGTGCCAATTTAATAAATTTTACAACGTCAGGTTCCCAAAACTTCTGTATAATTCAAAGTTGTAGCGCCTACGCTACAAACCTGTTCTTGGACTCCTCCATATATTTTCCTTAGAATTTTTCTCTCGAAACGCCTAAGCAGTTCTTGGTCGTTCTGTGTAAGTGACCACATTTTTGATCCGTATGTTAACACTGGCCTTAGTGTTTATATATGGATTTAATTTTCTGGTAGTTTTGGGGCCATCCCTTTCCGCAAGCCATAATAGCACTTATTGGCAAGCACTATTCTTCTTTTAATTTCTTCGCTGACATTGTTGTCTTTGGTCAGCAGCGAGCCCAGGTAGATGAAGGTGTCCACACCTTCCAGTTCCAGATCATCAATTAATAGTCTAGGTACTGGTTGCCTGATCTAGTACAACACATATACTTGGTTTTCTGTGCGTTTATTTTTAATCCCATTCTCAGTCCATCATCAGTGTGTCCTAAATGTATATAACCACTTTAATTAAAGAAAACATGAAATTTAAAATTTGGACCAAGGTTAATACAAAATGAGGTTAATACTTACTAGGTGTACATGTTTTGAGCCACTAAATATTTGGGTAAAAACCAGTAAATGTTAGTAATTTAAATTTAGGTTACATAGCTCGACAACCCTTTCTGGGTCCTGGCTTGTTCTAGGATTTTCCGCCATTCTGTTCTGTTCTTTGCTTTGTTTTTCCAGTTGGTAATCTTAAGTGTTTTCAGATCTTGTTCCATGTCTCTAAGTTTGGGTCTTCCCTTTGACTTTCTCCCTACTGGTGTTTACCTCATTATATGTTTTGGCGTTTCAGTCTCCAACATCCGTTAAACATGGCCCATCCAGCGCAGACGTCCAATCTTTATGGATGTTATGATCTCTATTTATTGTATGGTTTATTGTATGCTGTGTATAGTTCAAAATTATATCTTCTGCGGCAAGGATTTTTCGTTCAAATGTACCTAATAGGTTAGGTTACATTATTGGATCTTATATGTTATGATGTTAAAGTTACAAGTGGAATTGATAACATGGTGAGACTCTACATTGACAACTGATTGAACGTGTGACTTAACATGTCAATATTGTCATTTCAATCAGTTGCAATCAACAAGTTCTCGTAGACACTTTGTCTCGGGACCAGCAACCTCATGTAGACTCTTACGTTGCTATGTTATCAATTCTACTTATAACTTTAACATCATAATGTAAAAGATCCAATAATGTAACCTAAATTTAAATTAATAACATTTAACGGGATTTTACCCAAATACACTGCGCGTCACGAAAAAGAGGCCACGTAAAATTTTTGCCATTTTTTAATTTGTACGAATCATACCACAAAGTGATTGTCATTAGATGTTTGTGTAATGTTTAAGAATATATTCTAAAGCAGAATGCAATCTTTTTTTAAATAACAAATGTCAAAGAATAACTTTTTCAAAATTAATTTTATTGAAAATAAAAAAAATAACTGTAATTTTTTCTGTTTTTTTATGAAATTCATTAAGTCGTGATTAATAATACTGTATATTACCACTCTATTGTAAATTACACTCCTTATTCGATTTGGCATGAATTGATCAAATTCTGATGTTTTTAAGGAAAAGCTTCCCATTCTTCCATGAACGCCAACCGAAGCTGCTCACGATTTATTGGAGCAGGTATTCTGTTTCTTACCCTTCGTTTGAGTTGGTCCCAAACATGTTCAATCGGGTTCAAATCTTGGCTTTGTGCCGGCCAGTTCATTTTTGGCATATCGACAGCAAAAATAAAGTTTTCGCCGACAAACCCAGCAAAAGGCATTACATGCTCGTCTAGAATTTCGGTAACGTATCGGTGTGCATTAAACGCTCCTCTATCAATAAATACGGGATCAGTACGACTCTCGAATAAAATGCCTGCCCAAAACATTACCGAACCTCCTCCAAAAGCAAGACGTACTCGTCGAATACAAGCAGCATGACGTGTGTTGTAAAGAACGGTCTTCTCTGGCCCTTGTGATTCTTCTCTGGCCTGATCCTGGTCGTCGTTCGTGAGATCCAGTCTCTACGAATCGTTAGTAATTTTTTGGACAATACAACGACTGACTCCAAGCTGTCTGGCCACTTGACTTATTCCATTACCAATCAAAGTAACAATTTGAACAGATCTAGCAAATTTCTTAGACATAGTTCTTAATTTAAAAATTGCACAAGTTCACTCTTCGAACAACTGTACGCTAGTGAAAGGTTTTTGAAAAACAGAATAGCCTTATTCCAAGAAAAATAAGATACAAACAACAGGTTCATTATCCGAAGTCGTAATACTGATATCAATTCTGCAAACTTATTTACCCTTACCCGTTTGTCGGTGCCTAAAAGACGCTAAAAGTGTTTCTTCATTGTGGGAATTTAGTTGCAATAGAATAAATTGTATAAACTTATAAGTTATCTTACAAATTCTAGGTGGCCTTTTTTCGTGACGCGCAGTGTATGTATTTAGTGGCTCAAAACATGTACACCTAGTAAGTATTAACCACATTTTGTATTAACCTTGGTCAAAATTTTAAATTTCATGTTTTCTTTAATTAAAGTGGGTATATACTTTTAGGACACACTGATGATGGAATATAGATTCCGAAAACGTTTTGT